AAAACCAAAACCAAAACCAAGTCGACGTGCTTCTTCTCCGCGAGGACTTTCTTGTTGTCGGATTTGCGAAATGCGTGGCAGGAGTGGGGCGCGGCGCACATCGCGCGCGACAGGGCGAAATGTCGCTTTCGCTTCGGCGCCTAGTGTCCCCTGGCTCCTCCCAGTCCCCTGGGAAATCCTACGGTTTCCCGGGGCTTCCCCAGGGTTTCGTGGATCTTCCTGGACCTCTTGAGGCATCCTGGGGCTTTCTGGGATTCCCTTCGGTTTCCTGACATCTCCGAGGGTTTCCTGAAGCCTCCTGGAACCTCCTGGAGTTTCTTGGGCCCTCCTGAAGCCTCCCGGGGCTTCCTGGGGTTCGCTGGGGCTTCCTGCAACTTCCCTTGGCCTCCTGGGGCCTCCTGAGGGTTCCTGGGGCCTCTTCGGCTCGTGCTGAAATCGCAGCGCTGTTTATGAGACGCGCCAGGAATTCCCCATCGGTAGCCGCCATCGCGGCTGCATCAGCTTTGACAAACCACCTTGCCGTTTGATTTCGGCCCCCGGTTGCGCCGGCACTGTTTCTTATGTTGTGGGAGGGCGGGCGGGAATGTGCATCGAACTGGCTAGATGGACTCCTACTTCAAGTCCGAGTCCTCCTCCCTCTCCCCCCCCCATTCATTTTCCCTTCTATTTAAAACATCCCGCGTCGCACCCCGATGCCAGTTTTTAGGGCGGTCCGGGCGTTTCGTCTGAGACTCCCTCACCATTTATGACCATGAAGCTTAAAAACTGACAACAGCATCACAGATGGAGGGCGGGCGGTCTGTTGCTCTCGATGTAGCGCCGCGCGCATTCGTTTGTAAATTTAAAAGAGCTTCACGGATTGAGGGCGGTTGGCTTTCAACATGTGGTTCTCGCCTTAGCCCCGCGCGCAGTCGTTTGTAAAAATACAAGAGATTCGCAGATTGAGGGCGGATCCTTTTCAACATGTGGCTCTCGCATTAGCACCGCGCACACTCGTTTTTGCAAGCATTGCAAAAGTGTCACGGCTTCCCATGACCAGCGTACCAGATATTGTGTGTCTGGAAGGACTCAGGAGTATGAGGGCGCAGCAATTACGGTGGTTCGCGGAGATGATGTCCCAGGAACGGTGCTACGGCACGGTTCAGGATCGCCAAGACGCAACAGTCAGGTTGATCCATGGCGTTGAAATCCCGATAATAACGTTTTGACATGTTTCAGGGTCTTCAAACGGTTGTCTTCCAACGAGGCAATTCCTTATGGTAGTGACCGTTGTAGGGGCCTACGTATGAAGAGGGACCTTGGAGGGATCGTTGATAACACATGGTTTTCACTGGTCCGCCTCAGCCTCCTCCTTCTCCTCCAACTCCTCCCCCCCCTCCTCCTCAAACTCCTCCTCCTCCTCTTCCCCCTCCTCCTCCCCCCCCGTGGAGATCTGAGCTTCCCCCTGTCCGCCTCGGCGGTGCGCACGAGGGAGTGGCTCCAGGGGGCTTGGCTTCTTGAGATGGCGAAGGGCATCTGCCCGAGGCGGGTGCCTACCTGAGCCCTTGGGGGGGAGGAGGAGGAGGAGGAGGAGGAGGAGGAGGAGGAGGAGGAGGAAGAAGAGGCGGCGGAGGAGGAGGAGGAGGATGAGGAGGAGGAGGAGGCCGAGGCCGAGGCCGAGGCCGAGGCCGAGGCCGAGGCCGAGGCGGAGGCGGAGGCGGAGGAGGAGGAGGAGGAGGGAGAAGGAAGAGGAGGAGGGGGAGGGCGGCGTCGGAACTCTGCGGTTTCTGCGACCTTATAAGAAAACATGTTCCGCCCTGCCTGCCGCAGCGAAGGACTTGGGAGGGAGGGGGCGTACCAGGGGACCCCCGAGCGGTGCGGCGTCCCCCCTCCCTCCCCTCATCTCCAGGTTCCGCGACCTAGGAAGAAAGCATGTCCCGCCTTCCTTCCCGCAGCGAAGGCTTGGGAGGGAGGGCAATTGTCGGGGACCCCCGAACCGTGCGGTGACCATACCGTGTGGCACGCGCCAGTGGGGATTCGGGGTGACCGCACGGTTTTGGGACTCGGATCGTTCTCCGAGGACGTCTCGGGCGACTGGGGCCTCCGAGGTCCCCAAACCGTGCGGTGACTGACCGCGCGGCGAGGTCGCTGGGGATTCTAGTGCCAACGGTTTGTCAACCGCGTTGGGACTCCCAGGTGTGGCATGAGTCTGTTGACGGACCTGCCCATTTAGTTGCCAGCTACACGGAAGGGGTCAGACTTCTCCTTACAGACTAGAAACCCTTGGGCCTGTTTTCCACCACCACCATGAGTCCGAGGGGGAGGGGCTCCTCCTCCTCCTCCTCCTCCTCCTCCTCCTCCTCCTTCTCCTCGTCTTCCTCCTCCACCTTCTTCCCCCCTCCAACTTGTGGTGGTGGCAGTGGAAGCCAGGCCCATCACCTCCCCCCCCCCTGCCAGCGCCCAGGAGCCCCAGCAGGAGCCGGCGCAGGAAGCGGCGACGGAGGAAGCGCCGCCGAAGCGGGCGCGCCCCCAGCCCCCTTCTCTTCCGGCCCGCCTGTCCCCTGTGCCGCGTCGGGTGCGTCAGTGAGCGGGGGAGCTGTTGGCGGTTCCTCCTCGTCGTGATCTGCCTCCTCCTCCTCCTCCTCCTCCTCCTCCTCCTCTTCCTCTGCTCCTCCCTCCTCCTTGTCTCCTCCCTCCCTCCTCCTCCTCCTCCTCCTCCTCCTCTCCTCCTCCTCCTCCTCCTCCTCCTCCTTCACTCGCTCCCTCCCTCCCTCCCCTCCCCCCCTTCCCTCCATCCCTCCCTCCTCCTCCTCCTCCTCCTTCTCTTCCCCCGTAGCCATTTGGCTCAAGGCCCAATCCTTAGTAGCCTCTTCTGTACACTTCTTACAGCCATGTCGAATATAATGCCATGGGCATAATACATCCCCACGAAGAAAGTGTTTTCCTCTTGGGCCCGGATCGACGGCTTGAAGTCTTCAGCAGACGCGCGTGAGAGAACCACCGTCGGATTTTGTGAAGTTCGCGCGGATCCAATTGTGGCCTTGGCGTTTGCTTCGGTGGATCCGATTTCCGTCCGCGCGGATCCGATTTCGGATTTGCTGGATCCATGTTCGGTCTTCCCAAACAGCTTGCTGAACGGGGTGCTGTTGTAAAAGAAGCTAATTCCAGCCGAGGGAATTCAAAGCAGAGACGTCCTCAAAAAAATGTGGTGGTCCGGGGCGTTTCGCCTGAGACATCTTCGCAACTCTGGTTTCTGAGTTGACCGGGATTGGGCGTTTCGCGTGAGACGCGCAAGATGGTGGTCCTGACGCGCAGAGGTGGTCCGGACCGTTTCGTCTGAGATATCCTCGAAACTCTGAGCTCCCAGATGCCGCGCGAGAGGTGGTCCGGCCCGTTTCGCCCGAGACATCCTCGCAAATTTGAGCTCCCAGATGCCGCGCGAGAGGTGATCTGGCCCATATGGCCTGGGACATCCTCCAAACTCTGAGTTCCCAGATGCCGCCAAAGAGGTGGTCCAGCCCGTTTCGCCTGAGACATCCTCGCAACTCTGAGTTCTGAGATGCCGCGCAAGAGGTCGTCCAGCCCAGTTCGCCTGAGACATCCTCGAAACTCTGGGCTCCGAGATGCCGCGCAAGAGGTGGTCTGGCCCGTTTCGCTTGAGACATCCTCCAAACTCTGAGCCCTGATATGCCGTACGCGAGGTGGTCCAGCCCGTTTGCTTGAGACATCCTCCAAACTCTGCGCTCTCTGATGCCGAGCGAGAGGTGGTGCGGCCCGTTTCGCTTGAGACATCCTCCAAACTCTGAGCCCCGAGATGCCGCCCAAGAGGTGGTCCGGCCCGTTTCACTTGAGACATCCTCGCACTTCTGCATTCCGAGGTGCCGCGCGAGAGGTGGTCCGGCCCGTGTGGTTTGAGACGTCCTCGAAGTTCTGAGCTCTGAGATGCCGCGCGCGAGGTGGTCTGGCCCGTTTCGCTTGAGACATCCTCAACAACACACTGGGCTCTGAGCTGTCGCGCAAGAGGTGGTCCAGCCCATTTCGCCTGAAACATCCTCGCAACTCTGACCTCGGAGATGCCGCGCGCGACGTGGTCCAGCCTGTTTCGCCTGAGACACCCTCGCAACTCTGAGCCCTGAGATGCCCTGCGCGAGGTGGTCCGGCCCGTTTCGCCTGAGACCTCCTCGCAACTCTGAGCTCTGAGATGCCGTGCGCAAGGTGGTCAGGCCCGTTTCGGAGAAGACATTCTCGCAACGCTGACCTCCCAGATGCCGCGTAAGAGGTGGTCCAGCCTGAGGGCCCAGAAAACCATGTTTACATATCCTCACTGGGACCCTGGGAGCCCCAGGAGGCCCCACGAAGCTTCAGGAGGCCGCAGGACGCCCAGGACAGGCCCCAGGGGTCCCCAGGAGATTCCAGGAGGCCCCAGGGGGCACCCCATCAGAACGTGTCAAGTTAATATACATCTGGAGCCGATTCGTTGATTTTTCCTGCTCTTGTGGGCCCCCCCCCAATTTGGGGGGCCCAGACGGCCACATGCTAGATATCCCCCCTGGGAGCCCCAAAAGGCTTCAGGAAGCCCCAGGTGGGGTCCAGGAGGCCACAGGAGGCCCAGGAGGAAGCCCCATGAGGTCCCCAGGAGGCCCCAGGAGGCCCCACGAAACACCCGCAACTCGGAGTTCTGAGACGCCGCGCTCGAGGTGGTCCGGCCCGTTTCGCCTGAGACTTCTTCGCAGCACGTTTCGCCCGAGACAACGTCGCAACTCTGGGGTCCGGGATGCCGCGCGCGAGGTGGTCCGGCCCGTTACGCTGGAGATATCCTCGCAACTTTGGGCTCCGAGATGCCGTTCGGGATGAAGAGGAGGTGGAGGAGGAGGAGGAGAAGGAGGAGGAGATGGAAGGGAGAAGGAGGAGGATGTGGATGAGGGAGCAGGCAGGAGGAGGGGGAGGAGGAGGAGGATGGGGAAGGAAGGGAGCTGCAGGAAAGGACCTAACGGGAATCGAGTGCGACGTGGGCTTGTCAAAACTTGTGCGAGAGGTTGTCCGGCCTGTTTCGTTTGAGACATCCTTCCAAATCTGAGCTCCAATTTGTCGCCAAAACTGAGCCTCTGACAGTGCCGACCCGACAGCTTACTCGTCGACCAAGTGCGAGAGAGTACGACACCCTCTGGCGTTAGCTTCCTGATAGGCATGCGTCACACAAGTTGTCGTGCAAACATCTCAGATACAAACATCATGTTGTCAAGTTCTAACATGCCATGCCAGCCCGCACTGGACGGGCACGCAATCGACCTTGGAAACCGCAGTGGGCTTAAAACTCCTGTATGGGGATGCTGCACTCCGGCATTTTTTACGGCGGATCCGATGTCTACCCTGTTTAAATTCATGTACCATTACATTAACACGGGGGAAGCGGAATAAATCGGATCCGCGGACCCTTGAACCCGCCTGTGTTAAGATTCTACGGGAGGAAGGGGTTTCGGTCATTAACTTCCAACTCTTCAACAAGAGGAACATATTTCATCTTGCGTAAGTATAAGGCCCAGGACGGGCAATACACGAAGCCCGAAGACTTGGTTTGTCCAGCGTGCCCCCGTGAGTGGATATGGGCAGTAAGAGCGCGCAGAAATCGCGCTTGCAAATGCCGGGCACCGTGGCCAGCAAATGAGTCTTCTGGAGTGGGGCGGTTCTCGCATGAGCGGCGGAGGCTTCCTACCCCGCCCAGGGCACCTTCCTGCGTTGTCCAGGGTAATATGCAGATCGATCAGGACAAGCAGTCTGGAGCTGATTATCAGCATCCGGATGGCATAAACGGTTCGGAAACAAAGACAAACTCCAACGTTCATGCAGATTGACGGGCCAGAAGGGCCTCTTCCCCAAGACGTCAGAAGTCGCGGAGCCGATCCAGAAGCAGGCCATTCAAGGCATCCGTCGATAGCCGACAGCGGTCGAAAAGTCGACCCAAGAGCGCAAGGATGGCATCATAATGTCGAATCCGCAGTGCGCATTAATGCGCAGTTGAGAGCCGCGGATGTAGAAATCCTCAACCGACCCGCCCGTCGGGGCCTGCCCGCCCGACCCGACCCGCCCGCTAGGGTTCGCGCGTGCCAGGTCGAAAGCGCCCCACAGTTTAATGCCCCGCCCGCCCGACCCGACCCGCCCGTCAGAGCCTGCCCGCTCGCCCGACCCGACCCGCCTGCTAGGGCCCGCCCGCCCGGCCCGACCCGCCCGCCGCTCGGGTTCGCGCGTGCTCGGTCGAGCGCGCCCTACATTTTAACGCCCCGCCCGCTCGACCCGACCCGCCCACTAGGGCCCGCCCGCCCCACCCGGCCCGCCCATTAAATAGGGCCCGCCCGCCCGACCCGGACCGCCCGCCAGGGTTCGCGAGTGCTCGGTCGAACGCGCCCCACATATAATCGTTCCGCCCGCCCGACCCGACCCGCCTGCTAGGGCCCGCCCGCCCGACCCGGCCCGCCCGCTCGGGTTCGCGTTCTCGAGCGCGCCCCACATTTGAATCCCCCCCGCCCGTCCGACCCGACCCGGCCCGCCCATTAGGGCCCGCCCGCCTGGCCGGGGCCGCCCGCCAGGGTTCGCGAGTGCCCGGTCGAACGCGCCCCACACATTGACGTTCCGCCCGCCCGACCCGACCCGACCTCCCCGCAAGGGCCCGCCCGCCCGACCCGACCGCCCGCCACGGTTCACGAGTGGTCGGTCGAGCGCGCCCCGCACTTTAATGCCTCGCCTGCCCGACCCGAACCGCTAATCAGAGTCTGCCCGCCCGGCCCGACCTGGCCCGCCCGCTAGGGCCCGCCCGGCCCGACCCGCCCGTCAGGGCCCGCCCCCGACCCGACCCGACCCGCCCGACCCGCCCGACCCGACCGCCCGCCAGGGTTCACGCGCGCTCGGTCGAGCGCGCCCCGCACTTTAATGCCCCGCCCGCCCGACCCGACCCGCCCATCAGAGTCCGCACGCCCGACCCGACCCGACCCGCCTGCTAGGGCCCGCCCGCCCGACCCGACCCGCCCGTTAGGGCTCGCCCGACCCGACCCGACCCGCCAGTCAAGGTTCGCGCGTGCTTGGTCGAGCGCGCCCCGCTCTTGAACGCCGCGCCCGCCCGACCCGAATCGCGCGCCAGGGCCCGCCCGCCCGGCCCGACCCGCCCCCCCCGCGCTCGGACCCGCCCGCCCGACCCGACCCGCCCGCCAACGTTCGCGCGTTCTCGGTCGACGAGCGCGCCCCGCAGTTCAATGCCCCGCCCGCCCGACCCGACCCGCCCGTTAGGGCCCGCCCGCCAGACCCGACACGACCCGCCAAGTAGGGCCCGCCCGGCCGGCCCGACCCGCCCGCTATGGTTCGCGCGCGCTCGGTCGAGCACACGCCTACATTTGAGTGCCCCGCCCGCCCCGCCCGCCCCGCCCGCCCCGCCCCAGTCGAGCGCGCCCCGCGCTTGAACGCCCCTCCCGCCCGACCCGACCCGCCCGTTGGGGCCCGCCCGTCGGGGCCCGCCCGCCCCGATCGACCCGA